TGAAATGGATATATGGCATGCAGAAGAAGTGAAGCCTTCTGCATTTCAATACAGTAACTGTCATCCAAACTGTTGCCATCATTTACATCAGGTAATACTAACAGACTGCAGTGTTATATTGACAACATGACTAAGCATTTTGACTATCTTGTTTGTGAACAATGACACAAGGACTTTTCATTCTGATGGCAGTGATATGTTCATTGACATAAATATTTACTTTTGAGAGATAAATTAAAGAATTTGAGTAAGTTACAGGCTTTTGCATGTAATCCATAGTGTGGTGCTGTTTGTACGAATTGTTTTGAGAAATGCACATACTTCTTTGCAAATATTAAGGATGATACGAGAAATGCACCAAAGCGACTGAGAAAAACTATCTTGTTTGTGAACAATGACACAAGGACTTTTCATTCTGATGGCAGTGATATGTTCATTGACATAAATATTTACTTTTGAGAGATAAATTAAAGAATTTGAGTAAGTTACAGGCTTTTGCATGTAATCCATAGTGTGGTGCTGTTTGTACGAATTGTTTTGAGAAATGCACATACTTCTTTGCAAATATTAAGGATGATTCGAGAAATGCACCAAAGCGACTGTACAAAACTGTACCCAAGTGAAATATTACTGAAATATAATTTTCCCTAATAATATTTCAGCAGTCATGTCATGTGTTTTTCTTTTAGCTGTTTAGCAATTCATGAATGAATCATGAAAGGTCTGAACTAGTTTTCAATTCAGTTTGATTGATACGGACAGATCACTCATGCACTGAATGTTTCGCAGCATTTTCTCACATCGAAATGGGATACTTTATGACAGAAATGAAAACGTACATTGTATGACACAAAAAGTGCAAATATCTTCGATCTTTTGTATGTCCGAGATGAAGCCACTCTTTATTGTGCTTGTTGTGAACGAGCAGCACACTCTGTACTGCAGGTAAATACTATTTATATCCATGTATCTAAAATAGAGTATCAAAATATGTATCAGCAATATTTTTGATGAGTCTCTGTGCCCCAGTACTTATGAATGGCAAGAAACGCTTGTGTAGCCCACTATATAAACATATAAATAAACAGGGTTGTGCAATCCCTAGTTGCTGAACAGCTTTCAGACATAATTACTTTTATTAGGTTCTGCATTTGGATGTACATATTTATACATGATCAAAGACTACTTTTGCCAAAGTTTCAATGAAATGATGATTTGAAGAGCAAATTTGCTAAAGCTTGCTCTGTGATAGTCACACCAGTTCATATGTGTGCCTGTTTTACACTTTTGAGGTTTTAGAGTTTACCCTTCAAAGCTGTCATGGCTGATTTGTAGATTGTATTACACAAAATATACTCTGTGTTTCTGTATTTTTCATGGCCCATTCATGACGGTCATTTTAGACCATGGACAGTACAATTGCCACTCAATCGATTCCAATTGTATTCCATTTTTTTCTCACAAAGCAACATTTTGTACCATTCTGAACTAGACATTAAAAATGCACAATTTTGGGGTCTACGCTTAAAAAGTAAGCAAAGAGCAGAACCATAGATTTGTTCCACCCAAAAATAAGAAACCTGTTATTTTGTGATATTTTTTACACAATAGACCTACCTTGACATATTTTACAATATCTCGGAGTTCTTTCTCTCGTTCCTTACACCTCTGTTTCGACTTTTTCCACGCTTCCTCAAGATGTTTCTGTTTGAAAACCACACATGTGAGAATTCTGCCATCTTTGAACTCTACTTTGTGCAGTTCACTGATTTCTCTACTATTTTGTTACCTGTATTTCCATCCTCTCCTCCATCACCGTCACCACGCTGTGCCCCTTGTGTCCATCTTTGAAGCACAAGCTACAAATGCATTGTTGGTCTGTGCGACAGTACACATCCCGCAATTTATTGTGCCGTGAACAGATTCTCTTCTGCGGTTGTTTTGTAACTTCAGTAAGTGGATGCATCCTGCCACGATTCCTTTCATTGTGAGGTTTCAGGTGCGTCTCGCAGTAAAACATCTGGCATTTCACACAAAACCTAACAGCTCGATGTTTCTTCCCAGTGCAAACGTCACATTCGACATCCGCTGCTTTCCTACCAGCATCTTGAATGTCGGTTCTCCTCAGTTTCTCCACAACATCAGCCAGCATGGTGTTTCTACATAGCACAGGTTTAGGACTAAATGTGCGTCTGCACTGAGGGCAGCTGTATTCCTCTTTCAACTCGCATTTCCTCCAGTAACCTTTAATGCACTCCATACAATAACTGTGTCCACAGGGAATGGTGACCGGCTCCCACAGCACGTCCAAGCACACCGAGCAACAGAACTGCTCCTTATCCACAGAGATATTCATTCCTGCCATTTTCTCCTACATGTGTACATGTGTTAGAGGAGAGGGAAAAGAAAGGTGGTCACCAAGGCAGAACAGAGAGAACGAAACAATAGTGTTTGTGTATAAACTGGGCGTGAACATAATGCAGGTACAGTAGAAGCTTATCAGGTTTCAGGCCGAAACACCCTGGAGCCAGCCAATCACCAACAAGTACAAGAGGTCACTTCTTTTGTTTTTATGCAAATATAAAGTTGCAGGTGCATGAGTTTGCTGTACATTATATTATATATGATCTGCTCCATCATACTGAGAAACACATTGTGAGTATTAATCCCTGAAAGAACGAAGAAAGTCTGTGCTTTCAAATGATATAACTATTGTTTATCATTAATGAGACTTTATTAAAAAATTCATATTTAGGTGGCATTTCAGACTGCAAACAATGCACATGTGACCTATTTTCACAAAGCAAGTGCCATGAAAGTCCCTAAGTTTCATACCATGCAGCTACATTCTATTCTTTAACTTTTTTTGTTCTCTTTTAGTTATCATTTGGTATTTTCCTTATCAAAGTATTAAACTGGCTACATTTACTAATATTATTGCGTTGCCATAAGGCTTCAGGTATGCAATAAAAAAAAGAAGGTTAAACATGAAAAAAGACATTAAAGGGAAATATAACCTACAGATAGAAGGAAATATTTTTTGCTTTCTGGTTGTACAGCAAATAAAAACAAATTGCTATATTAAACGATGCATTAACATGGATCTTATAGTTTGGTAAGTGAGTCATATATTGATTCAGTAGCTGATCTGATGGATTCAGTGAGCTCATTCAGGATTATGAGATGCTAAATCATAAAATAAAAGTTGAGCGAGACAGTCATAATACTAAGATAGAGTATAAAGTCAAAATTATGACGACTCATAAGCAGTTATTTGGTCTCTATATGAGGTGCTCTAACTTGTCTTTTCTGTGTATAGTGATTCTAATAAACTTGTACTGTGCGTAGTTTTCTTCACGGCGCTTAGTTTTTTCTACTACACATGAAAACAAAAAGTTTTTGAAATTATGTAGTCATTTCTCATTGCTAACCTGAGCTGGTCTAATGCATGAAAGAAGGCCTTCAGCCAAACATACACAACTGACTTGCATTGCAAGTGTTAGTAAGAAAATTAATTAATTTAATAATTTCCACCTTTAAATTAGTTGTAAATGAAAACTTTTTTGAGGAAAAAAAATAAACTAAATTCTAGCATCAAGGCCATATTCATAATTTTATATCTGTGCCCCAAACGTCAAGTTAATTTCAGAGTTTTGGACATTTTACATCTATACAGAGATGACCATCATGTTTTACACCGGTGTATTTACACTAAAGCGGTTTTGTTTATTCTAAAGCAACTGTAAATATCACATGACTGATTATACAATCCAGTCAGAATTACAGGCAGATAATTTTTTTTTTCCTTGTGCAGATTGATTTTGCTTTTCATGAGGATTTTACGTAAATCTGTGCAGATCCAGATGTTCAGATGTTCTGTTTCTGGGAAATTCTTCTTTTTAGTTGCTCAAATAATTAAGAATGTATGGGAACGCAATTCTGATACAAAAAATGCTTTATTAAATAATCATTATGATGATGAAAAGCTGAAATGACATAAGTTATAATTATGACTTGCCAAAAATATGAGACACTAAGTCATAATTATAAGATAAAGTCAAAATTATGAGACAGTAAGTCATGAAATAAAAAGTCGTCGGCCTCAAGTCGTAAAAAGTTCTAATTATAAAGTCTATATGTAGACCTTTGTTAATATTCAATAATAATAAAACTATGAAACAGAAAGTCAAAATTATGAGACAAAATCATGACACGTTATAATTATGGCAACTCTAAATATGGGATATCGAGTCATAATTATGGGATACATTTTTAATCATATTTAATATTGTAATTCATTTTTCATGTCATAATTATGTTTTTTTAATCAAAACTTCAACTTACGATTATGATAACCAAGACTATTTTTGTTTCTTGGCAAAAATGGGCTGCCAAAATAAAGAGATGTTAAAAACCATGATTGATATTGTCTTGGGTTCATTTGTCACATTGGAAATGAAAACTCAAGTCAAGTGCATAACGCACACATGATTTAGTCTTTTGTCTTTTTTCATTTGGCTACACAGTAAAATACCAGAGCCATCAAACTGTTTGGAAGAAACTTTATTTTTCATGATATGAAAAATAAGTATTTAACATCCTAATTTTAAAAATTCTTGCAATTAAACAATGTTTAATACACACAAATACATCTCATACATACAGTATAAAGCTAAAATGAATATCTGTTAATAGACAGACAGCATCAGCGAATAAAACACTGATAATTAACACAAGTATAACACTCTATAATGTGTATGATTAATACTTAAGAAAATACTATAATCATAGCTTAATCAACAGGTAATTATTTTTAAATGTTTTGATCACACAATATTGCCACTTTCACTCCAAACACATCTGTAATTGTAAGATATACAGATTAACATAAGTTTAAAGTTAATACCGTTGAGACTTGGACGGTAGACACTGAAACGCATCTGCATTTACATTTCGGTCTCATTTAGTAAGAGGAGTTTGCGGTTAATATAGCTTTACAGTTTTTTTTTTTAAACCATGAAAATGTACATGTTCCAAAAAACTACCACAAACCGACTTTGGCCTCTTGACTGAATTCTAATCAGGCATTTCTCAGGCCGATCTTAAGGCTACCTTCGTCTCCTACGTGGCTGCAGTCTCTGACGAGGACCTTGTGATCTGGATCCTGAAGAGAAAAAGAAAATGAGAAAATAATGATTTTCTGTATGCAAAAAAAAAAGGGGGCTCAGAGATGGTCAACATTCTACACTGTAAGAGAAATAATCTGTTGAAAAATGTCCTGGCAACAAATTACAAGTAATTACAAGTCTGTTACTGTATATTTACAGACATTTCTTTCAACTTTAAAACACTACACAATGCATTTCAAAATACAGGTAAAACATCTGTAAAAAATCAATACAGAAAATTAAAAAAAAAAATTCACAGAACATTGGCCCATATTTTTACTGACTTTTTTAAAGTGTACAATAAAAGTTTGTCCTGATACTCACCAAATGATGAGAATGGAAACACACTAATTGTTGGGACGCTAATGGCAAACGGGCTCTGTACAGCCTGACCAAAGTCTGGTGCTGAAGCTATGAAATAAACAATTCATCCTGTTAGCACTGCAAGCTTCTTCACGTGCAGTTAAAAAAAATCAAGTATTAAAATATTAATTTTATTAGATGAAAATGAAACATCATCTATACATTTTTAATTGTAAGGCTCTATTCCAATATATATACACATACAGGTGCATCTCAAAATTTTAATATCGTGAAAAAAGTTTACATTTTTTGTTACTTATTTCAAAAATGAAACTTTCATATATTCTACAGTAGATTCATTACATGTAAAGTAAAACATTTCAAAAGTGTTTTTGTTTTAATTTTTATGATTAGAGCTTACAGCTCATGAAAGTCAAAAATCCAGTATCTCAAAATATTAGAATATTTACATTTGAGTTTCATTAAATGACCATCCCTACAGTATAAATGCCGGGTATCTCTTGTTCTTTGAAACCACAATAATGGGGAAGACTGCTGACTTGGCAATGGTCCATAATACACACAAATACATCTCATACATACAGTATAAAGCTAAAATGAACATCTGTTAATAGACAGACAGCGTCAGCGAATAAAACACTGATAATTTACACAAGTATAACACTCTATAATGTGTATGATTAATACTTAAGAAAATACTATAATCATAGCTTCATCAACAGGTAATTATTTTTAAATGTTTTGATCACACAATATTGCCACTTTCACTCCAAACACATCTGTAATTGTAAGATATACAGATTAACATAAGTTTAAAGTTAATACCGTTGAGACTTGGACGGTAGACACTGAAACGCATCTGCATTTACATTTCGGTCTCATTTAGTAAGAGGAGTTTGCGGTTAATATAGCTTTACAGTTTTTTTTTTTAAACCATGAAAATGTACATGTTCCAAAAAACTACCACAAACCGACTTTGGCCTCTTGACTGAATTCTAATCAGCCATTTCTCAGGCCGATCTTAAGGCTACCTTCGTCTCCTACGTGGCTGCAGTCTCTGACGAGGACCTTGTGATCTGGATCCTGAAGAGAAAAAGAAAATGAGAAAATAATGATTTTCTGTATGCAAAAAAAAAAGGGGGCTCAGAGATGGTCAACATTCTACACTGTAAGAGAAATAATCTGTTGAAAAATGTCCTGGCAACAAATTACAAGTAATTACAAGTCTGTTACTGTATATTTACAGACATTTCTTTCAACTTTAAAACACTACACAATGCATTTCAAAATACAGGTAAAACATCTGTAAAAAATCAATACAGAAAATAAAAATAAAAAATTCACAGAACATTGGCCCATATTTTTACTGACTTTTTTAAAGTGTACAATAAAAGTTTGTCCTGATACTCACCAAATGATGAGAATGGAAACACACTAATTGTTGGGACGCTAATGGCAAACGGGCTCTGTACAGCCTGACCAAAGTCTGGTGCTGAAGCTACGAAATAAACAATTCATCCTGTTAGCACTGCAAGCTTCTTCACGTGCAGTTAAAAAAAATCAAGTATTAAAATATTAATTTTATTAGATGAAAATGAAACATCATCTATACATTTTTAATTGTAAGGCTCTATTCCAATATATATACACATACAGGTGCATCTCAAAATTTTAATATCGTGAAAAAAGTTTACATTTTTTGTTACTTATTTCAAAAATGAAACTTTCATATATTCTACAGTAGATTCATTACATGTAAAGTAAAACATTTCAAAAGTGTTTTTGTTTTAATTTTTATGATTAGAGCTTACAGCTCATGAAAGTCAAAAATCCAGTATCTCAAAATATTAGAATATTTACATTTGAGTTTCATTAAATGACCATCCCTACAGTATAAATGCCGGGTATCTCTTGTTCTTTGAAACCACAATAATGGGGAAGACTGCTGACTTGGCAATGGTCCAGAAGACAATCATTGACACCCTCCACAAAGAGGGTATTGTAGACCTGCACCAGGCTGGGAAGACTGAATCTGCAATAGGTAAGCAGCTTGGTGTGAAGAAATCAACTGTGGGAGCAATTATTAGAAAATGGAAGACATACAAGACCACTGATAATCTCCCTCGATCTGGGGCTCCACGCAAGATCTCACCCCGTGGGGTCAAAATGATCACAAGAACTGTGAGCAAAAATCCCAGAACCACACGGGGGGACCTAGTGAATGACCTGCAGAGAGCTGGGACCAAAGTAACAAAGGCTACCATCAGTAACACACTGCGCCGCCAGGGACTCAAATCCTGCAGTGCCAGACGTGTCCCCCTGCTTAAGCCAGTACATGTCCAGGCCCGTCTGAAGTTTGCTAGAGAGCATTTGGATGATCCAGAAGAGGATTGGGAGAATGTCATATGGTCAGATGAAACCAAAATAGAACTTTTTGGTAAAAACTCAACTTGTCGTGTTTGGAGGAGAAAGAATGCTGAGTTGCATCCAAAGAACACCATACCTACTGTGAAGCATGGGGGTGGAAACATCATGCTTTGGGGCTGTTTTTCTGCAAAGGGACCAGGACGACTGATCCGTGTAAACGAAAGAATGAATGGGGCCATGTATCGTGAGATTTTGAGTGAAAACCTCCTTCCATCAGCAAGGGCATTGAAGATGAAACGTGGCTGGGTCTTTCAGCATGACAATGATCCCAAACACACCGCCCGGGCAACGAAGGAGTGGCTTCGTAAGAAGCATTTCAAGGTCCTGGAGTGGCCTAGCCAGTCTCCAGATCTCAACCCCATAGAAAATCTTTGGAGGGAGTTGAAAATCCGTGTTGCTCAGCGACAGCCCCAAAACATTACTGCTCTAGAGGAGATCTGCATGGAGGAATGGGCCAAAATACCAGCAACAGTGTGTGAAAACCTTGTGAAGACTTACAGAAAACGTTTGACCTCTGTCATTGCCAACAAAGGGTATATAACAAAGTATTGAGATGAAATTTTGTTATTGACCAAATACTTATTTTCCACCATAATTTGCAAATAAATTCTTTAAAAATCCTACAATGTGATTTTCTGGATTTTTTTTTCTCATTTTGTCTCTCATAGTTGAGGTATACGTATGATGAAAATTACAGGCCTCTCTCATCTTTTTAAGTGGGAGAACTTGCACAATTGGTGGCTGACTAAATACTTTTTTTCCCCACTGTATATACACATACAGGTGCATCTCAAAATTTTAATATCGTGAAAAAAGTTTACATTTTTTGTTACTTATTTCAAAAATGAAACTTTCATATATTCTACAGTAGATTCATTACATGTAAAGTAAAACATTTCAAAAGTGTTTTTGTTTTAATTTTTATGATTAGAGCTTACAGCTCATGAAAGTCAAAAATCCAGTATCTCAAAATGGAGTTTGTGCTAAAAGAGCCCCGACCAAGTACTGAGTGCATAAATCAACATACTTTAAAGAACTTGAACTTTTCTGTTTTGCAAATCCTTTTTTTGATTGATCTTCACAAGGAGTGGACTGAAGCTGGAGTCAGTGCATCAAGAGTCACCAAGCGCCGACGTCTTCAGGAAAAGAGCTACCAAACCACTTCTGAAACAGAAACAACGTCAGAAGCATCTTACCTGGGCTAAGGAGGAAAAGAACTGGACTGTTGCTCAGCGGTCCAAAGTCCTCTTTTCAGGTAAAAGTACATTTTGCATTTCGTTTGGAAATCAAGGTCTGGAGGAAGACTGGAGAGGCACAGAATCCAAGCTGCTAGAAGTTTCCGAGGTCAGTGATGATTTGGGGTGCCGTGATGTCTGCTGGTGTTGGTCCATTGTGTTTTATCAAGTCCAAAGTCAATGCAGTCATCTACCAGGAGATTTTGGAGCTATATATATATATATATATATACTGTATATATACACACACACACACACACACACTAGTCAACATTTGAAGTGGATCAAAACCTTTCATCAAAGTTGTCCTAAAACCAGAATGCGTTCTTATCTTAGGACAACTTTTATGAAATTCTTTGATCCACTTCAAATGTTAATTCATACTTTCATCCCACAAAGATACATTAAATTGATAAATGAGTAAAGCCACATTGTTACAAAAATATTTTTAAAAATATATTAAAGTAGAAAACGGTTATATTAAATCACAATAATATTTCACAAAATTGCTGTTTTTACTATATTTTTGATCAAGTAAATGCAGCCTTGGTGAGCAAAAGAGACTTTTTTCCAAAACAAACAAAAAAATTACAGACCCAAAACGTTTGAACGGTAGTGTACAGTAAGTGCGCTCTCAACATTAAACGACTCCAAAATGTTGGCAATTAAGTCGCCTTGTTTTGGTAGACTAAAACAGCATCGCAAATATCCTCCTTAAAAAAGGCTTACCCAGAATGCATTGCAACAAACTCAAAGAAATGCAGACTATAAAAATGTTCTTTATTCAAAAACCATTTCATTGATATCTGAAAAGTATAAAGTTCAATCTAATTAAAATACACTGTTTTACCCATCTATGTGAAATGTAATTTTTATGAACATTACAATTTTGTATTAGTAGCTTATCAACAAGCTAATGCCAGATTCTATTGAAATCAAGTGTGAGTTCTGTTTCCTACACTCTTAAACATAAAGCAGCTTTATTGTCATTTGTGGTTCCATTAAGAATATTTAACATCCATGGAAACTTTACATTCCAAAAAAGGCTCTTCATAGTAGAAAAAGGATCTTTGGATTTTTTAAAATGTTCTTCACACTAAGAAAATAATGGTTCTTTTAAGAACTGATCAATAAAAGGTTCTTCAGGCAACCAAAAATTGTGGTTCAAGTTCACTAGGTTTTAGAACAGATTATGCAAGTCTTCATTTAATGCATTTTTAATTCTATGGACTCTTACCTGTAATGGACTCTGAATCTGTCTTTGGTTTGGTGCTGTCAATAATAGTAACATGATTCACTGCAAACCGGAACGGAGGGTTAGATCAAGTACTCAAAGTAATTTCACAATACATTGAAATATTGATTTAGTCCTTAATGGCTTGAAAGGTCTCAGAATGCAAGTCTGTTCACCTTTCTCAGAGATATTGACAAATCCTCCCTGGTAGACGTCCTCGAGGAGAGCCTGGAACTCTGTCAGCGCCATCATCATGGATCCAAAGTTTGGGTCAGAGGTGATGTTTGGCAAGTCAACAGGCACAGGCGGAGTACACAGAGACCTGCAGTTCTGAACCAGAACAACGGTGAAAGACAGAATTATCGAATGAAAACTGTTAGGTCTAGGCAGTGGTCTGACTTCAAACTTTCATGAATCAAAAACTATACTATACACACACATACAGCATATATTTTGAAAATATTTACATGTATATATTTATATTCATATAAATTATATCATATATAATTATATTTAATATATAAATGTAACATATTTTTCTTAAATATATACATGCATGTGTGTGTCTTTATATATATACATAATAAATATACACAGTACACACGCATATATTATGTAAACAAAAACTTCCCAACTCCCAATTTTAACCTCGCAATTTTCAGTAAACCTGTCGCAATTCAGATTTTTTTCTCACAATTCTGAGTTCATAGCTTACAATTTTGAGTTAACATCCCACAGTTCTGTCTTTTTTCTCAAAATTGTGAATTCAAAACACAATTTAGATTTTTATTTATTTATTGAGTTTATAACTTGCAATTTTGAGGTAACATCTTGCAGTTTTTAGTTTTTACAATTTACAATGTATTCCTCACAATATCTCGGAATTCTCATAACACACTATTCGGTTTATATGTAAATTTTCACACAATTGTGAGTTCATAGTTTATATCTCACAATATAGAGTTACATCTATAACACAATTCTGACTTTATTTCACAATTACAAGTTTATTTCTCGCATTATTGAGGTAAAATCCTGCAATTCAGTTTTTTACATTATTTCTTGCAATTGCAAGTTTATATCTTGCAATTGTGACTCAATTCAGACTTTATTCAGAATTGCACATTTATATCAATCCTTACGTTTATATTTCTCAATTTTGAGTTACATCTTGCAATTTAGAAATTTTTCATCAAAATTGTGAGTTTATAACAGACCGTTCTGACTTAATTTCTCACATTTCAGAGTTTATATCTAGCAATTTTGAGGTAACATTGCAATTCATACTTTTTTCTCAGACTTGTCAGATATAAACTTGCAATTCTGAGAAAGGTGTTTTTTGCAACAACAACAAAAAACCGAATTGCAAAATAAATTAATAAAAATCAATAACAGTTTACTTTAAGCCTCCATGTATGATGCATTATAAAAGTACTAATAATGTATAACAATGCATAATATCTCTTCATAAATAATTGTAACCAAAGTTAAAAAGCATAATAATTGAAGGTTTATTTGTCATGTGTTTTATACACTTTGTAAATGTGTAAGAATGAATAGATAGGTATTTTAATGTAAATGTATTAAAACTGTGGGTACAATTTTTCAAGAGATCATACAAGGCATTATAAGGTGCATTACAAGGCATAATTCATATATTAAAACTAGTTTTAAAATTCATTATGAATAAAGGCTTTAAAGGGTTAGTTCACCCAAAAATTAAAATTAGCTTGTGTTTTACTTACCCCCGATGCATCCTAGGTGTATATGACTTTCTTCTTTCAGACGAATCCAGTCAGAGTTATATTAAAAATTGTCTTTGATCTTTCAAGCTGTTTAATGGC